GGAAACGCTGGGTCTCGATGTGTTCGAGATTGAGTTTGTGGACAAGGACGGCGTGGCTAGCAAGGCGAAGTTTTTGATCATGGTGGACAGGGCGAGCCGCTTCACCATGGTCCATTTCTTGAACAAGTACGCCTCGGACACTTCCTGGGAACCAACCACCAAGGATGTGATCCAGGCGGTCGTCCGCACTTGGATGGGTTCAAATCCAAGCCCGCGCTGGCTGCTAACAGATGCGGCGCCATATTTCACAAGCCGGGAGATGCTTGACTGTGCTTCTCGCAGCGGCCTTGGTTTGCTTACTGCACCGGCAGAGGCGCACTATCTGCTTGGAATAGAGGAACGCGCAATTCAAGTTCTCAAACGTACCTTTGACAAACTGGATCGAGAAGATCTCAACCTTGGGGTGGACACCTTGATGGTTCTTGCGTGTCACGGCCATAATAGTCATGTGCACGCGGCCACTGGCTACTCGCCATTTCAATGGACTCGTGGCTGGCAGCGCGAAGATGCACTTCCTGTTGGACTTGATCCCCGGCGGGCGTTTGGCCGAGCTCTACTTCTTCGAGCCAAGGCCGAGGAGGCCTTCACCAAAGCGGATGCATCCTTGAAGCTGTCAAGGTTGTCCAATTCTGTGGCAAGGCAGGTCGAGACATACCAGCCCGGTAGCTTGTGCATGCTATGGCGAGCAAGAGCCAACAAACAACGTGGTGGCTGGACAGGTCCTCTGCGGGTTCTCCTTCAGGAGAATACGACCTTGTGGCTGGCTACCGGCACAACCTTAGTCCGGGGGAAGCTGAACCAGGTGCGGCCGTGCGCAGAACGGGAACAGCTGGTGGTGTGTACTCAAGGGACCGTGGTTCATCAGAACGCAGTGGGCCTGGACATCCTCCTACGTGGATACCGTGGCAAGCACTTCCTTGACGCCTCGGCCGAGAACCCCGGCGCCGATATGGAGGAAGACCTGTCTCCTGCTCAGGTGGTGGTGCAACCTCCTGATCGACCTCGGCAACCCTTGGACAAGGATGGCTGGGTGACCACGGAGGACATGGTGATAAGGAAGCATGCCGCTCCACGGCTGACACTTTTCACGCCTGACCGGACCAAGGACTGCCCGATTCCCGAACGAGAGTTGACCGGGAAACGGCGCACCATCATCCAACGTCCTGGCGGAGCCCAGGTCATCGAGGACGACTACAAAACAGCTGATCGACCAAGGAGGTCTTTGATGGACCGCTGGAATGTCGAAACTCAGTTCGAGAGAAGGCGCCCGGAGTCTTTACCTGCACCTCCTGCTCAACGAGCACCGGAACCGGAAGTACTTGCACCCCGAGCGCCACCTCCGGAACTACCAGAACCACGAGCG